GCCATTATGTTATAGGGTTACCTCTGCAGTGCAGAGGAATTGTATATTAAAGAGGTGAATTTCAGAAAAAAAACTCTACTTTAACAGGTATGGCAGTGCTTTTATGTTCCTTTTCACAAGTTGATGTCAGGGCTTTTAAGCGATTGAAAAGAATAGCAGCACACTAAGTTTGAACTTGTAAGAATAATTTGTTGGAAATATGTTTGTAAAATACTTGAAAAAATCTCACATGGGAGCATTTAATAAAAACGCCTATCTGAATGGGCCTCATGTCTCTTTTCCAGACTGCTGAACATCTTAATGATAATAATTGTAAAATATGTAAAATTGTACCATACAATAGCACATTTTATTTGCAAATACAGTGAAACACCTCTTGCATTTGATGATCTGAATCGTTTTAATTTTGGGTGGCATGAATAAATATGCTAGCTTTTTTTACATTAGGACATGTACAGCCGTTTTCTTCCAACATGTGGCATCGTGCACATGCACGCAAAAAAAATCATTCAAAAACAGGTGAGGTGTGCAGGGAATGTCACTCAGGCTTGCTGTGGCTTTCGAGTCGGTAAGAAGGCGACCTTTAAAACTAGTGTTTTGTAATGCGTTTGCAGCGGTGCACAGGTACAAATTTTAAAGACTCAACGCGTTCGTCAATAATACTCTTAAATTTAAATAATATACTAGGTGACGTTTCAGCCACTGGCCATTTAATAGCCCATGTTGTGCTATGAAGAATGACCATCGCCTCAAACGTCACCTATTATATATGTTTCCTTTGACGGCAGTGTTATATTAAAACTAGTTTGTATCTTGTATAGTGTTGGATACAATTCTTGGACGTCGAGATTCGATGTGCCTCGTGTCACAAATGCAGTTGAATAGATGATGCTCTGTGCAGCGTGTATGTGGTTGTATGAGGATGCATGTACTGTATGCTGTAGAAAACATCTCTACTTTGCAAGCCGGCAGCACTGCTGGCCGTGGTGTCACATGGTATGTATGTTAAACATAGACCATGCAGTCCATCACATCTGGAAATGTGGGAACTTCTCTTGGTCCACAATATTTCAAACAAGAGGAATGTTTTTCATACATACCTTCACACGGATTTCACTCCCTTTTTGGAGACAATGCGAATAATTCCCTTGCATTTGGAATCTTTGTCGATGCACAGCAAAAGGCTTCCATGTCTGAACGAATTACTGTTGGTGTGGTGTGCCCATTTCTATGACATTCTTTCTGGTGCAATACTTAAAATGGCTTCAACCTAAACAGAAGTTTTTACTAAAGTGGAGAAAGTTAATCACACATTTCATAATGCAGATGTGGTTAAGTTTTGCTCTTCTGAGCTTATTTGTGAATTTTCATTGGCCACAGTTAACATATTCATAGATGCACAGACTCCTACAGATTACCACGGATAAAGTAGTTCTGTAAAAAAAACTAGAGTTAATGTTACATGGCAGGTGTGCATCCAAACCATCTTTAGGTCACAACGTTATGGGAGGAGTTGGAAATTAGTGCTTTATGGTGCATTGTACAGTACATGTGTATGAGGAATTTTTCCCATTTTTTTGTGTAAACTGTACAAGCCCTGCTGTACTGTACAGTGTTTCCTTTTTGAGCGGAAGGTCTCAAGGGAAAGAACCAAAGGAATGTCTTGCAGGTTAGCACATTTTGGCATGGCTCCACATGTGTACTGGAGCTAATGGAAAGTATTGGATATCTGCCTGCTATGAATACAGTTTTACTTTCACAGTGTTTTTGGAGTCATAGATTAGATAGTAAATTCATAGAGCAGCACTGCAACACATAAAATGCATATACACTACATAATTTGGACAAGGAACAGCTTACAGTCGTACTAGTTTAAACAGAGCAGATATACAGGTTATTAATAATACAAATAATGTGAAGAAATTGTGTATTTTGATTGTGACATGCCCCTAACAGTAGATATCACTTTTAATTGACCATGGCCTATCAAGTAGTGGCATTACTTGGTTGAAAAACTTTTTTTAAACCAAAATTTACAATTCACAAGGAGCCTGATTAGGATGCACCTCATGCAAGCGCACTGCACATTCTTGTGTTAACGAGACCTTTTCATAGCCTTTGCAAATCATATTGTACCTGGAATGCATTTTTTTGCGCTTCATACCTTTTGGATTGTCAATATACATATAAAGGACAATGGGTTAATTATTAGCAAATATGCACAATGTTTTATATTACAAACAAATTGTTAATACAAATTAAAGGAACTTATGACATGTGAAAAAATTTACTGAATGAAATTCAGTTGGACACTTCGCCTTTTGCGACCAATATTAATAATAATAGTTTTTGGGTTAGATCACGTAAATTTAAATTTGTTGTTAACCCATCACCACCCGACACAGCCAATTAGTAAGGTTTGTCATGTGACCAAAACATGACAACTAGTCACTACTTCACACACAAGGCACACAGTGATGACGTAATCTTACTCGGTTTAAGACCGAAAACAGGAAGACGTCTTCACATTCTGGCAGATCGCCTGATGACGCTGGTTATAATCACCAGCAAAACGTCGTGCTCAAATTGTAAATGTTGTGGGTTTACTCTCCAACACCGGTGTGCAGACATAGTAACTAATTGGCACGTTTCTTTTCACATGACGATCCTTATAAATTGGCTGTGTCGGGTGGTAGTGGGTTAACGATCCAAAAACCTTTATTATCAATGAATTCCCATCGCTTTTGCGAGTGTAAAAATTACAGTTACCCGTGTAAACCTTTGTGTTTGTATGCAGAATTGGTGTTGAGTGAGTTTTTTTGTTGTATTTGAATACTTTGCTCAAAACTAGACCTCTTCTAGCAGCATAAGCCCTCATGCATCTAACTGGCAAAATGGCATACAGGTGTGGATGAAATATGAATTCAAATTAGTTCAGTGTGTGCACCGTACTGTTCCACCCCACCAAAATTCCTGGGCAAGTACATTTCACATCTCAAATCATTGTCAGCCCTACGTACCTTACTGGGCACACAAACACTGATACATTTATTACTTGGATGCTGATTTTTACTGCAAGTCACTGCAGCATAATAGGACTTCATTAATTTTTCTGAAATATATGTTGTCCTGAGTTTATACTGAAAGTGTATATCGTCAACAATATGCAGGATCATTAGAATGTAGTCTCTTCCTACTGTGAGATGTGTTATCTAAGATCTTGTATTATATACAAACTTCTATTCTGTACGGACATGTTTACATCTAGCGTTTTATTGGAATTTCAATGAAAGTGTGTTGCCTCTACGAAAATGAAACCTAAGGAAATTAAAGCTGTCTGCCAGGTGGATTTTTTTTATTTGCTCATGGATTATGTTTTTATCTTTAAAAGGTGTATCATCTGACAGCTGTGACTGTGCTAAATACAATGCCTGTTAAAAATTAACAGCTGTTGTGCATTCTTCTCCATTCAAAAGTGAGTCCTGCAAGCCAGTTTGCAACAGGATTTACATGTACCAGTATATACATGGTACTCTACCAGATTTACTGGTACATTTAAAACTATTTCCACCTTTAAATGTATTTTTCTGGTAAAGTGATTTTTACTGAATGTGTACGATAATGATTTAATATTTCCCAACTAATTTTTTGTATCCTGATAAATGTAGTACCATCATTATTTCATATTTCAAAATAATTTTGCCTTTTGTATATATGTTTTAAGACTGCAGGTTGGTATTGCTTTTTAATCTCGGGTTCTTATTGATTTTAGGTGGCTTAAGCTAAACTCTACTTTGATAATCTAATGTCAGTACTAGGTTTTCCCCAAATCCCACATCAAGTGCAACCAACAGTCTTATGTGAACAGCAGAGAAAACTGTCAATCATCCCAAAAAATACTATCAGTAATACAGTACCTGAAATTTATACTGGAAAACTATGACTTATTTGGTGACTCAGTTTGGATTTAAGCTCGCAAATGTGTTTATATATGAAATGACAACAGTTTTCAACATATTGCTTACAGCACTATACTTTTCAGAAGGATATTGCTTTATTGTTTCTTTATACTTATATACATGTGTGTGGAATACTGAATAGAGTGTACGTGCTGCAATTTAAAAGAATGTCCTTGAAAAATTATCTTGAAGACTACAATCAAAAATGGGAAGTTGCAACTCAGCTTTGCATTTCAGAGAAATATTTAAAATTAATAGCAGTACTATATGTAAATCAGACTATTTTGTGCTGCGAAATCACAGGTACACACATTACATTATCGGCTATTTAAAAAAGTTACCATTCAAAAAATACTAACCACAACCTATTCAACACCGATTGCACTCACTTCATGTATGCATATTCAAAATATTGCTGTTACACATTTTAAAGCTGTGCCTGCACACTCTTTACAAGAAACCATAGTTTTTGTCACTTGTGGGCAACCTGCAGCCCTTGTAACCACTCGTTGTGGCCTGGTTTAAGTGTATCTCGGGTAATGTGTGGGGTTATGATTAGTACACAAGCACGATTTTAAGCTTGCAGCCCATTGAGGTGGTAGAGGTCCGTTTACGTGGTCCACTGACCAGTCGAGGTTGCCTATCACTGGTCTGTGCTGTTGTCATACAGCTCCAACAAGGTTGTTGACATGAAGAACCAGGTGAGGCAGCAAAGAATACAAATTACTCATAGGCCTGTGCACTCATACTAACACGCAGCAATGTGTATTATATATAGACAATATACTTTTTAGTACATACATATAGATATGTTTTTTTACATAGATTGTATTGAAAATTTGGCCTTTCTGGACTTTTCAGAAATCCAAACCCAGGGTTCTCTCAAATTTGTGTGTGATTTTGGAGTATTCTTGCACACATAATTATTAATTGAGATGAAGATGTATTTAATGGCTGTTAAATTCATGTAGATTCTTTGAATATCACCACATATTGGCAGAATGTCTTATTTTATTTTCCCATCCTTGCTTTCATCCTCAGACTTCAGGAATTCACTGCCAGCCCAAGGCCACCGTGCTCTTATCTGTGTCTGGGTGGTGAGGCTATTTCTGGGGGCATGGTGCTTACATAGACTTCTTATATTTGATTGTGATGCAGTCGACCATGGATGATGTTTTTGCAGGTATATTTGCAGTTTTGCTGAATGCGTGTATGGTTAGTGTCGATTTTAATGTTTTTTGCATTTGCAGTGTGAATAAAAGATCTTCCAGTACAAACAACCAATCATTTTAGAACTTCGACTTACGTAAACCATCTCTCATTGTGATCCGCAAAGTGTGATAGATTCCAAATCCACAGTCCCGACAAACGATGTAACCAGTCATATTATTAAAATATTAAAATGCTAATATTTGAATCGTAATTGTGAATGTGCATTTGAAACCTCTGCTCAATGTGAGGTGACTCATCTGCTGTCCCTGCTGTATGGAAGTCCTACGGATTGTCTTCACTCCTGCCTCTCCGCCTGTTCACGTGCAAGATTAAGACTTTCCTCTTCTCTGCCTTTGACTGACATTCTATCCTCAACTTGTTTCTTGCACATTTAGTTATTTATACCTATCTCATTGCCAATTCTGCACGTACAATTCTCACCAATACATGATAAAGTTAGTTGGGTTAGAACACGTGAATGTGTCTTACACCCACCTCCACCCGACAGCCAATTAGTAAGGTAGTCGCATAAACAGAACTTTACAAATTGGCTCTGTCGGGTTGAGGTGGGCGTATAACACATTTAAATTTGCGTGATCTAACCGAAAACACTTTATAATGAATAATATTGGTCGCGAAAGCCTACGCGTTAAAGATCAGCAACATTCTATAATTCTTGATAATCCCCTTCTAACTCACCATCCACTTTGAACATTTGAAGCAGCGATGGCCATTACACCAAGCACTGATACATTTTGGTGGATCTCAACATGATACTCGATCCACCACAGCGTTATGATCAACAATAATTCCCACTATAAAGTATACACAAAGTACTAGTGCCATCTATTGGTAGAAGCTATAATATTTTTTATGTATGAATTCTTATGGATTTTTATTTGACATCAACCGTAAAGAAAATTGTCAGCGTACGTTAGCGTTTGTTCTGATCTGTCCTGAGTTCCACCAAAACGTTTGTGATCCACGTACACGTGTGTTTAGATGCGTAATAAATCTGAACAGTAAAATGGTAGTTTGTATTTCAGTATGTCAGTCTATATCCGCTTATATGTCTTGCAGCTAGTCTCCTTGCAGGAAACAGGCTTGGTGGTGATATGTTGTCCGCTTTTTCTCTTTTTGCCTCATAAGCTTGGAAGGCTCAGAGCTGCAGCATGAAGTTGAGATCACGGAGGGGCTGCTCGCCCATGGCCCCTCCGGCCGGGGCACGGCAAGCGTCCAACCTCAAGCGGCGGCACACGGAGTGCAAGGACAGTGAGAGCCCCAACAGCGACAGCGGCAACGAACCCACTGGGCTGCTTGCGTCCATCAAGCGGCTAATCCGAGGAAGTACACCCAAGACGGTGAGAGTCCATTCGCACTTTACGCTGATGGGAAGTCTCTCATTTGTGAATATGAGTGTTGGAAGTACAGCAACATTGTCTGATCATTTGGTATTTTCAGACTGTCTAGTGTGTACCGCTTTTTGTGAAGTCACTGCTGGACAAAGGCTTCACACGCAATGTCAGCCGTGTGGGTTGTAGGTCCATACCTTACCATGCTGGTCAGTGCAGATTGGTAAAGGTGGTGCTAAGGACTGGTTCAGATATCTCCCATCACTTGTTAACCATGGCTGGGAACCAAACTGAAGTTGCTTTGTTTAGAACAATGAACTTACTTTTTTGACAGTGATTATAACATATTTACCCCAAGATGTAACAACACTATCCATTGCTTCTGTTGCATGTAATCTATGCATTGGCCGTTGTTGTCTTTGCCTTAGCCCATCTATTCACATAATCGTTTCATAATTGGTTCTTTACCCTTCTATCTGGCACCCTTGTGCGCCTTTTGGCGTCATCTGGTCCAACCCATATGAGACTAGGCTCGAAGGAAAGCTGTCTCGGGTGTGGACCAATCAACTTCAAGGACAGTGCACATTATCAGAGTTATGTCTTTTGTTTGTATTTATGACTGCAGGTATTGCGGTCTATGCAAACATGACTCCTTGCAAAAAGGTGTCAGTTTTGTTGCCAGATAGAAGGGTAAAGAACCAATTATCATATTTTTACTGGCAAATGAGGTCCCCATAGTATAATCGTTTCACTTTTAATTGTTTGTGGACTCTACATTTAAAAATAAACAACAAGGTAATTAACACACATGATGGGTAATTGAAAACTGAATACAATGTCAAATAAAACGGCTCTAATGAGATTAAGGCAACCTCATGTTGGGGTTGTTAGGAGATTTGCCTGCGAAACTTAAAATCATGAAGAACAATTCAAGTGACTTGATGAGTTGTCTGGCAGTTTAGTGCATCGAGTCCAAAGTTCGCTTTATCTTCTCCCCTGGTAGCCTTCCCCCACTTTTTGTGGTCTTCTGCTGACAGAATATTAAATCAGGGGGCCCTCTGGTGGTGTGCGGGCTTTTTTTTATTTCAGCACTTCCTGGGGTCATCCTTTTGATATTTTGGAGCTCTGCCATGTCTAAAACAACACGCACAATGAAGTTTCGTTGCTTCCTGACATACAACTTTCTTTAAACAAACGATACACAGCCGACAACTATGGTTATCCTGCACAATCATAACACGCATGAAATACAGGGCAAAACATGTCGTATCCAACAAAAAAAATTGGTTTGAAATAAGTATAGACTAAAGGATATTTTTTGATAGTTTTTCAGTAAATGGTCTTAGTCAAGTTTTTTTTTATAATGCAAAATTTCTCCATATATTTTATACATCTCCAATTCATATATTAAACAAAATATGGAACAGGTGCATGTCTTAAATGTAATTCATTTAAGGAGCTATAATCATAATATATCATTATTTTTCCAAACCTCCTTTTACTCAAACAACTTATTTAAGCAAATAAGAAAATTGGAAAGAACTATTTGTTTAACAATGGTGCTGCTATAAATATTGTTTTGGGCTTTGATATTATTGCATTGGATAAACAGCAACAAAATATGATACACCAAATAAATAAATTCATATCATTTACACTGCTGGATAAAGGCCCATTTCACACTGTCAGTCATAGAGGCTGATGTGTGACCATACTTTACACTAGTCAGTGGTGGTTTGTGAAAGAGGCGGGGGCATGATCAGTTAAGATATCACGCACCAATTATATTAGCCATTGGCCATACGCAGGAATCGAACCTAGAGTGCTGGGTTTATAGTACAGCACTCTAACTACAATGTCACTGCTACGTCCCATATACACTACATATGTCCCCCATAACACTAAATCATATTTTCAGCCTATCTGTAAAGTTTCTTTATTAATACGCATTACTTGTATTGTAAACTCGTTCGTGTTGTATTAGGGATGCACTAATTTGTCGTTTTCCCTTTGAATTTGGCTGAACACTAGCTGGTGAGGGTGAGAAAGAGATGAAAAGTAACGTTATTTCAATAATTATCTGCCCCCTAGAAAAAAATGTGATGGAAAACATTCCAGAATCCATGCATATAAACGTTTTTCTTGTATTTTAAAAACGCTTGGTATTTTACAAATATGATATTGGCATTACTTTGTTTTTGAATACTGGCCACTTGTTTGAAAGCTTTTGCTCATTGGCATATGCAAAAGGCCCATTTTTCTTCGTTTAATGGAAAAAAGGATAATATTTTCCAGGATGAGACTCCAGCTAAGAAGCGCCGTCTACAGGTGGAGCAGGAGGACATTCTCATCTCGTCCACACCACAGTTAAACCCAGGCACCGGGCGTGCCGTGCGCACTCGTCGGAGGAGCCAGCTCAACGGAGGTGCATGCAAACAGCACGGCACTGTGAAAATAATGCCTCTCATTTTAGGCTTAACATTTTCATGGTCTTTAAACATTTTTATTTTGCGAATAGTGGTTAAAGAAATAAAGCATTGTTTTTAGTGACAGTGCGAAGTTTCAGGTGTTTGGTCACATGACAAGGGGGGGCATGCCTTGTTGCTTGAATGTGGTTACACTTAGTTTTTGTTAATGTCACTGTAAATGACGGCTGAGGTTTGGTATTCCTTTTATTTTAAAGCTAGCACAATGCCATACATTTTTTGAGTTTTGTAATACATTAGGCAGCTTTGATTAGGTATTGTTAATTGTATTATTCACAATCGATGGCAGTGTTTTGCAAATTGTTCATTGTTAATGAATGGCCAGGCACCACCAGGTCCAAGGTTTGAAGTCTAATCCTTGTCACTTGAACACTGCCAGAGGCTCCTTGGGGAAATGCAGTGAGTGGCATTTGCCAAAGAGAACCCTTCACAGTTTTATTGCAGACAGAAAATACAACGATATCCCATTGAGTTTAACACATAGGCTTTCGCGACCAATATCATCCATAATACAGGTTTTTTGGGTTAGATCACGTGAATATGAATGTGTCGTTAAACCCGCCACCACCCGACATAGCCAATTAGTAAGGTTTTTCACGTAAACAGAACGTGCCAATTCGTTTCTCGTATAGCACAGCCGTTGTGTGTTGGAGAGTAAATTCACACCATTTACAATCTGAGTACGACGTTTCACCAGTAATTAAAACTAGCATCAGGAGGCAGCCAGATTTGTGGAGAAATCATCCTGATTCGTTCCTTAAATATAGGGATAGATGTGATGGCGTCACTTGTGAGCCCTTCACATGCGAAGGGCAGAGTGGGTGGGGGGGATGAATGAATGCATATAAATTACAAAGGGTATTCATTACCGGTTGGGTTATTCATTTGGCAATCAACGTACATTATGCATATACATTATGCATGCATATTGTTCTTGTACCTCCTGTCGTTTGTGTGCACTAAAATAGCAGTACCCATTATTGTCTGCTCACAGGTAATCCACATTGATGTATGCTGACCTGTATAGGCATGCATTTAAACAATGTATTATTTGATTATTCGCTTCCAAGCAACACTAAGCCTGTAGCTATCTGAACAGGCAATTTTTTTCTCTCAATTTCGATAGATTCTATAATTACTCTTGGCCAGTAGTAACTAGTTTTCACACGTGAATGGCCTTCACACGTGAATGGCTTACAAGTGATGCCATCACATTTATCCCTCTTTTTAACGAACGAAACAGGATTTCTCCACAAATCTGGCTGCCGCCTGATGATGCTAGTTGTGATTACTGGCGAAACGTTGTACTCGTATTGGATTTACTCTCCAACACACCGGTGTGCTGTAGTAGTAACGAATTGGCATGTTCTGTTTATGTGACAAACCTTACTAATTGGCTGTGTTGGGTGGTGGCGGGTTTAACAACACATTTATATTTACGTGATCTAACCCAAAAAAAACTATTATGGAAGATATCCCATTGATTTTGCTGCCACAGCACATTATTTCGTATGTAATTAACGCAGTGTTAAAGGTAAGCAAGTGATGTTGACATGTATGTTTATATTATACGTTGGCTAAGGTGTGTGTACATATAAATGGTTGAGGAATATTCCTGGCTGATTTTCATGAAATGGAGCTAGTAACATGAATGTGTTTATATGAGTTTTCTGTTGTGTTTTTTTGTGTGGTATTGTATATATGAGTTTTCTCAAATATCCTCTCATTTGTGAAAATGCGTAGAAACTCCAAGGAGTATTTTCTGACTAAATTAATGTTTTTTAGTTCCCATTGATTGTGCAGCTTGAAGACATCAACCTATTGTTTGCCACTCTTACCATGCTGTGTTTGTCCTCTTATGCAGAGGGAGAAGAAAAAATATCTCTGCTTCAATTAAAATGAGCATGATGCATTAAGTACCTTCATTGGTAGTCCTGAGCCAGTAGTGGGAATTCCACATTGCTATCATGGGTACCCAGTCTTACTCGTACCACTACCAGTGGCGCGTGTAAGGGATTGTTCATGACACATTTTCTACCAACATCAGTATGCAACATAGCAGTATTTGTCCGATTCTGTATTGGGCATACATTATGCTAAAGAGACCCGCTGTGTGTTATCGTTCTACCGCAGGTGCCACCCCACCTGCAGGGAAGGTAGCCAAGGTGGCCGAGAAACCTACGGGCAACCCTGATGTCCTCAGCCCCCCTCGCAGCACTTTCTTGGGGACAATCTTCTCACCCGTCTTCCACTTCTTCTCATCGGGGAAAGATGGTGAGGATAACTAACCTCCTATCGGCACACCTAAGAGTAATTTATTCAGTTCATTGGAGACACACCCATTGGATTTTTTGCATGCTTTTGCGGATCTGTATGAAGCCACAATGTAGCCTTGATTGATGCATGCTATGTAAATGTCAACATATGTTGAGGTGCTGTGAGCAATGGTTTTTGTTGCCCTTTAAAAGGAGGCAATGTTTCACGTGTCTCAATTGATATATTTAACTTCCTGGTTAAGTAACAGGGTACAACAATTTGCTGATGAATGTGATGATTTTGAGCTCTTCTGATGAAACAATGAGGTGCTGTCCCCTTCACGTTATGGAGTAGAAATGACAATTTAAAGTCAACGTGCACAACGTGGCTAAAATGTACAAGCAGGCACGTATATGTTGGCTCTGGGTACAAACAGCACCGTGATCTTACTACATATGACACTTGCAGTCCATGTGAGGTTCTATGTGTGTGTATTTGATATTAATTGGATTTCAGATCTGCAGATTTTACCAAACTCAAATCCTCATAATGCACCATGGTCTGCCTACCACTTCTCAGTTAATATATAAATCAAATTGTTTCCTGCTGGTTATGCCATATGCTTGTTAAATAAACACCACATGATGTAGAAGGTGCTAAGTCAAATTTACAGTGCATTTTAATTTGAAAAAATGCAATCCACCATGTAGGACACACGCTCAAGTTATTTAATAAAATTTGAATCGGTACTCTGTCAAGTGAGATTTTTTTTAAAGCAATAATTTGGTATGTGCAGTGCGGAACCACTTCATTTATACTTGTATAAATTGAGAAGATTAGTGAAAATGGAAATATGGACTATGGTGGGTAACAAGCACTGGAGTTTTGGTAACTCTGTTCTCTTGTGAACTCTATTAGATGGGTTTCATTCTCATGGACACCAATATTAATGCGCAAAATTAATGTTAATTTGTGGTCACCTTGACCATTGTGCATCTTGATGAACCTTCATCGTACAGACAATTAAAGGTTGTCCTGCATCCCAGCGTCACGTTCTGTGTGTGCGCATGTATCAGGCAAGGCGAGCGAGCCAAGCTCGGATGAGACGCCGGACGACCAGGCCGTTGAGGCGGAAGAGGTGGTTCGGCAGCTTGACCTGGAGCAGCACCCCATCGAGATTCCTACCAGCACCAGCACCATCAGCAGCTGCGTGGCCCCGTGCGGCGGTGGGGCCACGGATGGTGCCACAACCGAAAATGTTGGCTGTGAAAGCAACGGCACACCTTCCTACCCATCCATCCCCATGCCACTGGGACCGGAAGTCACAGGTTCGTACAGTGTTGCACATTGGGTTTCTCAAACTGCAGTTCTAATGCCCCCCAGCCAACCCATGGTGCAGTTTCCAATGATTTTCAAGGGTGTGCAACTTGTATTGGGATTGATTTGCATACGAATGTTAAAAGTTGGCAATCGGAGAAAACTTCACTGTTGAGATCAAACAAGACTGCAGTATCTATATAAAGACCTTCATCTGCATGTATGTCTCAAAACCCTCTAGGGTACTTCCCGACAAGGTCGAAAGCTGAAACAGGAAAAATCTTGAGATTTTTTTTTATTTGAAGGCTCCCAAATCTCGATTTTAAGTGCTCCATATAAACATGTTTGTAGGTGTCATTCAGAAACCATTCAAAATATAAGATTGCAGGTGTATTGGTTTGATAGAACGTTATACAGCAAATAAAATTGAAGTGAGAACCATTATTCTATCTTTTATGGTTTTTGAGATATTTTGGATTAAAGTGGGTTTGAATGAAAAAATATGCATTTTATGATGTTCAAATCTGAATAATTCAAAAATGGTAAAATATAGGAGCTTCCCCTCAGAGTAAGTTAATACATTTGTGTTTTTTATCATAAAAAATTACGGAATCTTTACATTGAACGGTTTCCGATGGGTACATCTTTAAACATCAGTTGAATCAAATCATCAACAATTAATGGGTTTTTTTGGCGGAAAATTACACGTTTTTGGAGACGTTGTTAGTGTCTGATTGTAGATAAAAATTGTAAAAAATCATCAGGTTAATTATATTTATTGAAAACTTTTGCCTGGCGAAGACAGGCTTTATGAACTAGTGAGAAATAATTATTTGGGAAGACTGAGATGCCTTTGATGTTATTCTTTAAAATGGAGAACTGTCAATTCACTGCTACATCTGATCTCGTTTGGAATTTATAATAATCCTTTATTCTGAAAAGTCTCATTCAGCCTGCAGTCTCTTTCAGTTTGGTTCTTCAATGGGATGTCAATAAATATTTTCCAGTGAGTGTTTTTTATGTGGGAGGAAACATGAGAATTCAGTAATACTCGAGTCATGAACTAATATTCTTTGGTTCTTTTGGTAAAGTCACGTAGATAGAAAAAAAAAGTGAATAAAAAAACAATAATGTAGACTGTAGCCTGGTTATTAAGTTTGGTGAGTGTACTGGCAGTCTATAGCATAGACTGTAGTAATGGTTATTAAGCTGGGTGAGTGTACTGGCAGTCTATAATGTAGACTTCTTGGTTCTTTCAGTTAAAAATAAGAATACAAATAATAAAATGAAGATAAAAAATACAAATATATATGAACTAATGTTCTCTACTGCCATCTTCTGGGCACCTCGCAGCCTTACAAGTTGAGAGTTTTACAGCACATGATGACATCTGCATAGTCCAACACCAACCCCACCTCAAGCGCTTTACGATTGCATATCCTGCTTTGGAGAAGAATATCACAGCATCTTTAATTTTCACTTCTCAATAGCCACCTACTGAATTAAATACCCATGTGTAGTACATAGTCCCTGTTCACATATTGTAGTGAGATATATGAATGGTTACAAGAATAAAAAAATTACCCTACCATGAGGTAACCCATGGATCATCAGTTAACTGAGCTGACACTACTGAGAATGTGGGTTCATATCCAGGTCGCCTTCGGTGATTAAAGCATGTTCTTACATGTGACTAGTTGATAGTCTTCGCCTAGTCACCAATGATTGCACAAGTACATCTATAATTGAATTTGGCTTTTGGCCTAATCAAGCGAAAGTTCCAACCCTACGAATTTCTGGTTTGATTTGCATGCGGCAAGCATCTGTATAAGAAAGCGTGTGGGAAAGTGCAGCCCCCTAGTGTGGATAAGAGATCACTTGGTGGGATCTCACAAGTAGTTCTATGATATAACCTTCCATGGACTGTTTTTTTAACGCAGGCCGATGCGCAGCTTAATGTAGCGTCCTGATTCACACTTCATCTCATAACATGCCACTGGTAGCACAATTGGAATTTAATTTGGGAATGTATTTAATTATATTAAATTACCCTCCCCTTTCCAGTACTGTTTGAAAATGTCAATAACTTGTCAGCTTTTTGCCACAAAGTATTAAAATTAACAGTCATTGCCATCAACCACACATTAGATGCAGTGTATGTGCTCATAATTCATTGTGTGTAATGTGCAGTTGAGAGTGGCCTGGCTCCAGGTGCCACAAGTCGGGTGCTGATGCCCCCAGCAGAAAGTGTGTACTCTGATCCTTCCGCCGTGCAACCTGAAGCCAACTACGAGGAGGACTGGGATGTGTTTGACCCGTACGTATAATCATAATTGACAGCCTTAGAGTTGTTAATATTGTATTTCTTCTGCAGTGATAGTTTAAAAAAATGCACATTCTCTCATTGTTTTCTTACCTCCTTGTCTCTTTTCCACTAATATCATGGTTGTTGCTCTCAAGAACTGCATGTATTGATAATGCTTCGGATCTCTAAGAGGATGGGGTACAGGTTTAGCTGCTTGCTGTTGTCCATACTGGGTGCAGCAGTCGAACAAAATATGTTCTCTCTAGTTTTTTTTCTAATAGAGCTTCCTTTGAAACATCTTTTACCTATTTTTCCAGCCTCACACTTTTCACCTGGTCAAGAAGGCACTGTAGGCCTTTGTGCATTTGTGTAACAAATGTAATTTTAAGTTAAGGTTTGAAATGTTCTAGGATATTGCTTAACCTAACTTAATATTATTTTTCGAAATGTGAAATTACAAAAAATATTCTATTATTTTTACGAATTTGTAAAGTCACTCTTGAACTATCATATGTATCTAAAAGAAATATAAAAGTGTGTTTACACAATGTGCACGAAGCAGTTCTTTCCATTATGAAAGAGTATAATGGAAATGTGGTTTCTGCACATGTGTTTTTTACCACAGGTACTATTTTATTAAGCACCTGCCACCACTGAGTGAAGACCAGCTGACTCGGAAACCTGCGCTTCCGTTGAAAACGCGCAGCACTCCGGAGTACTCTCTGGTGCTGGACCTTGTGAGTGTTTAACAAAAAATTGGCCATACATTATTGGGTTTTTTCCCTCATTGATACATCTAGAATAATATAAATACTAATTTACAGAGATAACCAGCTGGCTCAGACGTTTGAGCGCTGGGCTGACACTGACAAGTTCCTAGGTTCAAATCTAGCAGCTGCTCATAGAGTTTTCATCTCCTGGATAACATTGGAGGAAAAAATAATTTAAGTTTGGAAGGCCAGTAAACTGAAAGTAAATATTTACTCCCCTTTGTCAATCTAATGCTGGATGAAGGCCTTAAACACAATGTCAGTGCATGGGGGGGTTTGTTTGACCATTCTTTACCACCCTGGTCAGTGTTGGTTGGTGAAGGTTGGAGAGGGCCCAGGATGGGTTAAATATAGTGAGCCACTCATGTTAGTCATGGCCAGGAATCAAACTGTGGTGGCCAGGGGTCATAGCATTGCATTGCATGAACTAGTAGGTCACCACTCCACCACATTTTACACATAAATGGCACCTGTCTGGACTTTGATACTTTGGCACCAAAATCAATTTGGAATGTTCACAATTGTCTGTGTATGCTGAGAACGGTTGTCTTTCTACACTATTCTAAAACACACAAAAAACAGGACGAGACGCTGGTTCACTGCAGCCTGAATGAACTGGAGGATGCTGCACTCACTTTCCCCGTCCTCTTCCAGGACGTCAGTTACCAGGTAACCCGAACTGCACCCACACACACATCGGCTTCAAAGCACACTGATCTCTAAATGTGATTGCTGTTTGGTCTATAGGTGTATTTTCATTAAAGCGCGAAAAACAGGCATTCATATTTCTGCCAGTCTGTGTCCATACAGAGTGAACCATTGCTCTGCATGTTACTGTGTTAAAGGAAGACACAACCCAAAAAGTATCTCTTGCAAATACTGTCCCGGAATCTGCATGTTGTGGCCTGTCAGTCATGAGTTTGAAGCTTTATTCATGAGACAAAATACTTAAAAAATCTCTGACCAGGTGCAGCCACCATAGTGCACTATCGTGATGTCATTGCATTTGCTTATTAAAATGTATGGACCCGACAATGGAAATAGCACTCGGGTGCTCTAAACACTCATGACCTTACCTCAAAGGTTTGTTTCTCATGAATGAGGCTTCAACCCACGCTGGGCAGCTGGGGACACAGACTAAATATACATGCAATATAAGGGTTGGAATGTATTTTGGGTTGGGTTTTTAAATATTTAATAAAATCTAATAGTAATTGACATTTTGCTTTCTTTGCAGGTATATGTAAGGTTAAGGCCACACTTTCGAGAGTTTCTGGAAAGAATGTCAAAAATCTATGAGGTAAGAACAAAGTTTGTATTCTATGGTAATCTTTTGACAGTACGTAAAGGCTTTATTTTTATAAGCTCTTCATTGTGCACATCTGATGAAAAATGTCTCTTTCTACAGGTGATCCTCTTTACTGCCTCCAAGAAGGTTTACGCGGATAAACTTTTGAACATTTTGGATCCAAAAAAGAAACTTGTAAAGTAAGCTGGTGTTTTCACTCTTGCTTCTATACTTTGATGTTTTGATACTTTGATTGCTTTTTGTCATGCCTCAATTACATTCCACCGCATGCTGGCAATACCTGTGAATTTTGGGCACCCCTCATAAATCCATACAAGTTGGAGTCATTTTTGGAAATATTTATTTTTAGGCTTACGTTGTTCCGTACTGTAAAAAGAAGGACTCACAAAAAGCATTTTATTGGAGCTAGTAATGTAACGCGTACGGAGTAGTCCCAGGTGAGCTGTATTCAAGTTCTTATATACCCATCCTTAGTCTTCTATAGCCTTCTGAACCAATTCTGACCCTTTACCTAATCATTCCCTTGACCCCCCAATGGGTCTCTAACCGACCCTCCCTTTGTGCTTAAATGTCTTGAGTTTTGAGCCTTTCAAACCATTCCACTAGTCAGCATATCCCGTTCACAGCCCGCCAATCCAGTGTACGTGAACGGGGCAGTCAATTGCGCGAGTCGAAGCTTGCGTTTTAACGGGTCATCCGCTACAGCTTGGACATCTGACCAATGAGAAACAAACGTACCCATTTGAACGGCAAAGTTGTAGGTTTATGCTATATGTCACAATGGCAGATATAGTTAATTAATAAGATACACTGGCAGCAGTCCTTACACCTGCAAAAGTAGGTACGCTTGCCGCATTTCTCAACATCCTTCATGCATTGCCAAGCTTTAATACTCTATATTTCGTAGTGTAATCAACCGTAAAACTGCATTCTTTTTTTAACATTTAATCAGCTAAACATTGTGTTTTTGCAATAGCTTTAGCTGGTTACCGTTGGCAAACAATGTCATTTTGAGCAAGACTGTTTTGATCCTAGAGTACACAGTACACTTTATTGGAAACATGTTTTTATATAGTAGTAGGTTTTTACCCTTTTAAACTGGTACAAAACTGACACCTTTTGTACCAGTTTAAAAGGGTAAAAACCTACTACTATATTTTGCCACTGGTAAAAGAGATCTCATAATGTTTTTATATATTTTCGATTATTTATTTATGTATGAATGAAGATCAATATTGACCGTTTTAATCATGGGCATGCTTTGATGCATAATGTATTGACTATCTGTGAGACATGTATATTTATGTGACATACATATGGTTAATGGTGGAATTACTCTGCAGACACAGGCTCTTTCGGGAGCACTGTGTATGTGTGCAAGGCAACTACGTGAAGGACCTCAACATCTTGGGCAGGGACCTCTCCAAGACCATCATTGTTGACAACTCCCCACAGGCCTTTGCATATCAGGCAAGTCACATCAATTTTAAATGAAAAAGTGTTTATTCCACAAATTATATTTACGTCACTTATTTTCTTGGTGAACTTTAAGGCATTATTAAGATTAAAAAATTGTATAGGGTTCCATCCAAGGTCGGCTTTCAACATAACTCAAATGTTTGTGTTGCACAATTAGCACGTGTGGATACGTACGGTGCAAAAGAAGTCCTACATACATATGTGATTATAAATAATAATAATAAGGTACAGTCTTTTGTCAATCCACTGCTGTATGAAGGCTCTTCCCACACTGTATCGGTCACTGGGGGTTGTTTGACTGTACACCACCATGCTAATCAAAGTGCGTTTGTGAAGGGGCATCCCGGAATGGCTCGCCCGTTGATGTTAGCTGTGGCTAGGAATCATCGCAGTGCGCTAATGACTGCCCTGCTGTATATGTGCTTGATACAAACATGACTTAATGTAAATGGTTAGCACGTGACGTTTTGGGAACCTTGTTCATATATAAATATAAATAAATGTCAGTCGTAACTGACTTGCAAAATATGCAAATGTAAGTTTGCCATAATGCGTTTGCTGTTCTTTTCTCTTATTTTGCCAGTTATCAAATGGGATCCCAATTGAGAGCTGGTTTGTCGATAAAAATGACAAGGAGCTCCTGAAGCTCATTCCCTTCCTGGAGACACTGGTGGAAATGGTGAGCCAAGCTTCAAGAAGATCTGATTCATATCATTAAGAAAAGTGTTGTCCTCAAATACTCTAAAAAATATAACCTAGTATGAATGAAATCAAATGCAAGTTGTCTCCCTGCTCAGTCGAGCAAGGAGTGGCGGCTCTCGTTTTTGTCGGTGGGTATGAACCATCAGTGTAAATTTGTACAGTCCCATAGAGGGGCCAATTTCTCCATAGGACATATGCTCTTGATAAGCCATCAATTGTTTACCGGCGTACATAGCCACCACCACCCTGATGTTTTCCCACGTCTGTTTTGTTTTAATTCGGTTGATACCTTAAAAAGGTTATATAGTGCTTTCACTATACTCAAAATAATAGGTTTTACCCTTTCTGGCAATAGAACAGGTGTTAAGATGTTAAAACACCAAACAGAAACCTTTTGCAAGGAATCATGTCTGCATTAACCACATATACTTGTGGTGAACATGCAAAAAGACACATGCTCTGGTAGTATATGCATTGTCTTTGAAACTGATTGGTCCACACCAATCAGTTTTGATACTGGCAAGGGAGGTCTCATGATCACTATACTCTCTATAGTGTCATTTTATATAGTACAAACGGCATACAGTGTGTGATGGTAAGAACTAGGTGAAATGAATTCTCCACTTGAGTGCATTTCTGTAATTGTAATGTGATTCTTTCCACCCCTAATATCCGTACAGAAGGAAGATGTGCGTCCACACATCCACGACCAGTTTCGCCTACATGACCTTCTGCCGCCGGACTGATGTGGATATGGTGCTGGCGCTGTCACCGTTTACTGGCCTTCCCAGCTCAATTTCCAGCATCACGTTCCACATCAGTGCCATCGCCTGCAACATTGTAGTATGACACCTGAATAACTCCGGACATCTTGGAACTTGTTTTTACAACGAGTGTACTACTTCAGACACCACCAGAAAGTTGTTTAATCTTCCAGTTAGGCCAAATCAGTTGGCATAATGAGGTTTGTTGTTTTTTATATGTAAACATAACAAATGCTAAAATGAAAAAAAAAGCTCAAATTAATGTAGAAACCTTATATTTTCTATGGTAGCTATGAAGAATTTTACATATTTAAGATCTGTTTATGTAAACGTTTTATCAAAATACACCGTTTGTTTTATTTTATGTGAATTATACAAACCAGCAAATCTTGTAAAATATCCCTTTTTAAAAATAGTTCAAGTACCTTTTTAAAACTTGGACTAAAATAGGAGGGTAAATGTGTAATGTGTAAATTGGAAGTTTTTACTTTTAAACAGCAGCGCAAATTTTAAACTTTGTATTTTTGTATTATTTTAACCTGTTGATCCCAGTGTATCTTTGCTGATGTTTATATGCATATCCATAACATTCGACTGTATTGCTGGACACGAATGAAGAAAAGCTAGTCCTATCTGAACCCATGTTCATGTAAATGGCCAACTTAGTGCAGATTTTGATAAGTCAATAACTTTGTAAATAGATGCATAATGGTGACCACCAGCCTGCTTTTACTCCAGGCTGTACAAAAAGCTGTGCAGCACCTTTCGTGATGACTTTTAGTCTTGGCCTAACCCAGGGTAATATGGACAGAACTGTGTAACTGCCTATAATAGTTTATAGATGTTCTTACTGGTGTACGAGTATATGTAATGTACGTCTAACCCCGCTTTCCTGGATATAAGCACCCTTACCCGCCCCTCGCTCTCTATCCTAAAGTCGGTGACATTCCTGTCTGATGCTTTGTAAAATAGCCAATGTGCATGCGTGGAACAAGTTGAAGCGTTCAAGGGTGTCCCGTCTTGTCTGCCCAACGTGGCACTTGGGCGATTTGTAGAGTGAGTGGTGTCTGATTGCAGAAAGAATTGTGGGTTAAATGGGATCCATCTCCTACCCCGTGTTGCACACAATAGGGTTGTGTTTTGGTTTTGAGTTTTAACATACAGTGGAACTCCAATTATCTGTAATCAAGTGAAGTGAATTAACAGCAAGCATAAACCAATGTCACATGATAATATATAATTTAATGTCAGTATTGTGATTAATCGGTTCACTTCATTGATAATCGATATAACTGTTCCTGGAACATGTTTCAGTAATTGTGGTACATTCGTTTATGCAGTCGGTAATCCATGACATCAGAATTCCCTTAAAAAAGCTTTAAAAGAACAATGTTTTCCCAAAAGTACTGTAATTGCTACATTTTGAATTAGAGGTTAATATAAACAATTGTAGTTGCCATATCTAAGTTATTACAGTACTATATTAACTAGCACTTTTAGAATATTCTAATCAGGACTTAATTTCTTCCTCAATATTTTACGGGACACCTTGTTGTTGGCTTCGAGATGGGATTATCAGCGTCGGGCACTATACCACCCAGAGTACAAGGTACGCATATCCACAGTACGATATTATTTTGCCATAAATTCTGATATGATCATGATTTAGGACAAAATAAGACGAGAGTTCTGGATGTTTGCATATGCAAATTAAGCACTGGGTTGAATTATCTGAGATGAAGGAATGTACAAAAAATTCTGGTGAAATTTATATAAAAAAGTGACTTATAAAGGTTCCATATTTTCACCTACTTGTAAACGGAATCTTTCTTCGATATGAAAGAATGTGTTGTGTTAAAGTAATGTATAGTCATTGGCACGCAGAGATCAAAATAATGTACAAGGCTTATATAGATATGGCACCATTGTACGTGCCAATAATTTAATTCCAGTAAGGGTCAGGTGCAGACTTAAGAGATTAATTTGATTAAAGGTGCTTGTTAGCCATTGTTTAGGACATTTGGTCATTTTGCATTCATGAATTGTGAACTTTGGTCATTTTTTCGTGCAGAATTTTGCCACTTTCATAATTCCAATTGAATTCAACCTGTGATATTGCCCAATTCACTGCGGATAATCTGAGTTCTACTGTAGTAGGTATGTCTGAAGTTTTATAGGTTTTAAAATTGAACAGAATGACGGGTCAGCTCGGCACATAATACATTTAATTAAAGAATGGTAAATGTTTTGAGAGATTAAAGAATGCCTAGTTTTTAAATACTGTAGTTCCTTTGTATTTCCATTTTATATGTACAGTAAATTTAATTCGCCCTCTAGAAAGGGTAACAGAAGAGAAGAAACAATATTGTGTCCTGCATTTACAGCAAAGTATTTGAAACTATTCTGCAAAAGGCATGGGCAGTACTTCACATCAGCATTCACATTTTCAAATTTAGCATTCTCTTACATACTGTACTGACCAGTAATTATGTTAAAAGCATTGGGGTCTGTTGCATATCACTGATTTGCTTGTTGCAACAGGCAAAACATTTTCCTTATTTGGCAGGTGCTCCTGTTGGCACGACAGATTTAGCAAGTAGAAGTAACGGACACATTGTTTTTGATCAGATACTGTAAAGTATATATTTCCAGCTTATGTCAAGAATAGGGTGGTTAAGTTTTGAATGAATAACCCAGAAGTGTTGCTAGTTATTGACATCGTTTGGTGTCACTGATTTCATATGCCAATTCGACTTGCGACACTTACAGACGCACACCACCTTTAGCCGACTATTAGCCGAGCTATAGGTTTTGCACTGTGTACTGTACAGATTTTTGCTTGTGCTATCTTGAAATGAAAAGGTCCATTTTATACACATGGCTTCCTGTCAAGTTGGAATTTTATGTAGTTCTCATTTGCTTTGCCCGATGCTTGCATGAATGGTTGTTGCTCTTGAAAACGCACTATTGGCTGGTGTACACAGTTTGTTTTGTTTGGCCACTGAAACAAGTGTTGAAACGAGGGCACCAGCCACGTTTTTAATTCCATGCGATGTATCAAGCCATGCGCGTTTACTCCATTGCCTTTGTTGTATCTTGCTGCATGTTTTGTGACTTTGATTTGTGCTTCGAGAATTTAAAGTGAAACGAAAATATATTTTTCGTACGATATGGTGTCCATATTCGCTCCAAATTTTATTGTATTTTATGCTTCTCTGCTTGCTACAGTATTACACTCAATTAAACCACTTGCCCACTCACTAGGTGGCAACTCTTCTCCATACTTTACATTTCCATAAGGGGTGCCCTGTCCAGCGACCTCTGTTTGGTTTTTGGAGATGGTCTTCTCACAGGAAACACGAATGGGCCATTTGTATAGCAATGACTGCCCGGTCTCTTGAAACCAATTAAAATTATATCTCCCAAAAAGCGCACCAGAATGTACAAAGTATTGGTACAGTGGTTCCCAATACACTGCCCAGAGTGTGTCATTGAGCTGACCTGAACAAAACACAAGACGCTACAATCCAAGCAGCTGCTGTCCGGTCGAGACAATTACGTGGTGAAGATCCCGGTAAGAGCCATCATACATTGTGATCACCTGGTCTGCATGAGAATCAAGCAGCCCTGTATACACGTGGCGATTGTCGCTATCGGCATGGTTGATCGAGCAGAATGAAACTATCATCAAGCCTGGGTTAAGGTAAGTTGCAAGGAATATTTTTTCTTACCATCTATATAAACTCTAGGTTGTGTGCAAAGTGGATTTTAAAATAGGGGTCATGCACAATGGACTGTTGAGGCAGATTTTTTTTAAAGTGCAAAAAGCGGTAAGTTCGTCATCAAAAACTTGTTTAATCCAAAACGTCATGCGAGATGCGTAACATCGCATGCAAAGTGAATCGGCATGGCAATTTCCTTAACGCATTTTGATCTCGTGTTCATTAAACTGGAAACTCGGTCGCCATTAAAGATTAAAAGATTTTGAGCATGTTAGGTAAAATACAATAACATCACCTAACATCACATTTACATGTATACCGTCCGTAAAGTTTACGTGTGTTTTGTTTACCGTTTTATTTCGTTCATAACCCACTTGGACTTTTTTGTCATCACGGATTTATTAAAAGCGTTTTATATGTGCTGTATAATAAGTGCAAGTAGCAACATCATTTGGTGTACCAAAATAAAGCAATATGTATTTTTATTTGCGTGCAAACAAGTCTTGTTTTTTAGATTTGAAGCTTTCGTGACTACAAGGATTCATATTCTTAGCTTTTTTCGGTAAAGTCACGTAGGTAAAACATTAAAATTAATAACAGTAAAATAAAATAAAAATCACGACGTTTCGGATGCAACACAAGCTTCCGTCTTCAGGTGGAACCGTCACAGCCATTTACTTGATGCAGCTGTCGTGGCTGTGACGGTTCCACCTGAAGACGGAAGCTTGTGTTGCCTCCGAAACGTCGTGATTTTTATTTTAGTTTACTTTTATTAATTTTAATGTTTTACCTACGTGACTTTACCGAAAAAAACCTAAGAATATGAAGTCTTGTTTTATATACACCGTTGCGTGTGTGTGACGTTAAGATGTCTGACGTTGAACCAAAACCGGCTTTGTCATTTGGGTCACTCTGCGACGAGATATTCGTCCCTTTAGTTCGATATTGTTTTAGGTGGTATAAGGGAGGAGACTTGGGGGCAAGTCACCCTTCAGCAACAACAGAGGGCAGAGGAGCGACCCTCACAACAACGAGCGATAAAAACACTGAAAGTTGGCACAAGTAGGGGGCACAGCTGGTGAACGTCAGCCAAGTCATCTCAGTCAATCCATAGCACCTGGGGTCTGTCCCGTGACTTGCCAGCGGGCGTTTTACGCTTCACGTGGCCTCAAAGTGCACCTAGCCTGGCACAAGTGTCGTGGTGATGTCACCGTCACGGTTTGTGTTTGTTTTTTACACCGATCCAACACGCAGCGAATTCCGTCTTCTTCAGTGTAAGCCGATTTGGGTCACCCGAATTAATAATCGCGTGGCTTGGGGGGATCTACACCAGCAGCAGCTGCTGATGCTGCTGCTGCTGCACACCCGTGGCTTGTTTGTGTTTCATGCCACGGTAAGCTAAAAATAGTTTAGTTTTATTTGCATATTTGTTTAAAAAAAAGTGATTTATTTACCTTTCCTATACTTTGCACTTGGTCGTGTTTAGGATTGTTGGTTGTAAGGTTCTGACCCTGTGCCCCCTACTGGACATCGGTGAAAAAGAGCTTTATAGTTAATCGGATTCCTCCTCCAGTAGAAATGAATATTCTGATTCTCTTTCCCCTCCCCCCCCACGTGGGTGATGTTGTCCAGAAATATCCCGGATAGGGCGGTCTGCTTTCCTGTGGTGGCTCCTTCCTCTCCGTGCAAGTTCTTCTTCATTCTCTTCGGTTTTTTCGGTAAAGTCACGTAGGTAAAAATAAATAAGAAAAATAAAAAATAAAAGGAATAAATATTTTTATAATAAAATAATGGAAATTAAATATTAAATCACGGCGTTTCGGAGGCAACACAAGTCTCCGTCATCAGGAGACTTGTGTTGCCTCCGAAACGTCGTGATTTATTATTTTATTTCAATTATTATTTCAATTATGTTATTATTTATTTATTTTCACCTACGTGACTTTACCGAAAAAAACCTAAGAGTATGAATCCTTGCAGTCACGAAAGCTTCAAATCTAGAATTATTCTTCATTGCCGGCGTCTTTGCGCACGTGTCCTCTGGTGACTGCAAACAGCTTGAACCGGGGCAGGCCGGAAAGCCACCATGTGTCCACGGGGGGATGTGATGTGTGCTGTTTTTGGACGCTACTGGGCAGTGGGAGGCAGTCGCCCTCCAACAACAACAGAGGGCGGAGGAGCGATGCTCACAACAACGGGCGGAGCGCCGGGTGGCTAAAGCACAGCAAGTTGGCACAGTAGGGGGCACAGGTGGTGCATCAGCCAGTCATCTCGGTCATCTCAATCAGTCGACCCGTTGCACCTGCTGGGTCTGCCCCGTGACCTCCTGCCAGCGGGCGTTTGACACTTCACGTGGCCTCAAGGTGCACCTAGCCTGGCACAAGCGTCGTGGTGACGTCACCGCCACTTAGTGGCGAATGCTGTTTTTGGAAAGGACACTTAAGAGAGGGGCAACTGCGTGTCTGTGTATGTCTGTATATGTCTGTGTGTGTGTGTCTGTGTGTATGTCTGTGTGTCGTGGGGAGCGGTGGTGTAGCGGTTAGCGCTACGCTGCGCTATGAACCTGGCGACCCGAGTTCGATTCTCGTAGACGGCCAACACCACAGTGGCGATTATCTGAACCGGTACTGGGCCTCCCCTAGGCCGACTCAGCCTCAACATGAGTACCTGGTGCGGTGTGTAAACATCGTCACTGGGAAGACAAAGGCGGTCGGGCGTGGTGCTGGCCACACCCATCCCCTCGTGTACCGTCCCGGCCTTCATCGGTGCCCGCTAACAGCACTTGCCCCCTAGTCTGTTAAGGCTAGACGGGGGATCTTTGTATGTATGTCCCTTCCACGTGTGACCCTATCTATGAGATGTCAACCAATTCGCCTGGTATGCAGGAGGGCATTGGTTCGAGCCCAGCCCCTGCTGTATATTTGGGAGTGTGCATGTTCTCCCTGTGGAAAGGACACTTAAGAGAGAGGATTTTTCTCCAGATCCTCCCGGTTTTTTCCCCTCCACCCTTAAGAGACATGCCTTTGGAGTATTTGGCTGCTAGAAATTTCTACATGATGGTCAGCCACTTCGTTGAACTATCATTTGTGCTCAGGTCGCTTTTGTAAAAGTGATGTATATCTTCAGTGCGCCTTGCTTGGTAAAATAAAGTTGTTTTAATCGTTTGAGCGCTGCCACGAAATTAGACCTTGGGAAACCGTAATTTTATATTTGAAGCTGCGGTGATGGTTTCCGGATAAATCTGCAGGCGATATAACAGCGAAATCCTGTCCACCACGAGTTAAACATGAACAAAAGCCAAATAAACTCGTTAAAAATGTTTTTTTTTAAAACGGGTTTATTAACAACTTGGTTAAAATTTCGATTTAAAGCTTTCGTGACTGCAGGGATTCATATTCTTGGTTCTTTCGGTAAAGTCACGTAGAAGGGAAACAATAAAATAATAAAAATATAAAACAAAATTCTCACGACGTTTCGACTGCAAACTTTGTTAAACTCACGGTCTTTGAGAAGTGCGTCAATGGCGCCTGGGACAAGCCACGTGGTGAGACACGCCACGTGTCTACGCCTGACACGCCACGTGGTGAGACACGACACGTGTCTACGCCTGACACGCCACGTGGTGGGACACGCCACGTGGCACCGATTTCACAGTTTAGGGACCGCGGCGTTTTTGACCTACACACAAAATATATAATTAATAAACCATGCGTCCATACAAAATGTGAATTGCTTTAAAGTAGCAGATTGATTTGTTCCGATTTTGATACAACCATGCATTGTCACTGGATCTGAGTAGGTGTGCAAAATGTGAAATTGATTGGACAACGGGAAGTGGACGGAATTTTGATTACAAGATTTGACCCAGACAGAGGAATCAAGTAAAACCGTGAAAAAAAATCAGGCTTTATGTATCTATTACTCAACGTCGTTAGCCTGCAGCGAACATATGGATATTTTTATAACTAATCTGATCAACGTATTCCTTTATGCATTCTAGACACGTTCCTTAGCAATGTGACCGAACCTTCAGTAATTGATAATGCACTGTCTTGTTTTGTTTGCCTGCGAGGTTGGGCTGTCGATGAATATTGAGCATGGTTTAACCACGGCATTAAATCGACTCATTTAAAATAAATATATCCACATAAGCCGCCGCAGCAACCTTGCAAATGAAAATTCCAGCATACATGAAGTGCAATAGCACGACAGACGATGAAAACCAATGGTAGAAATAACCAACTTTCCAGGAAACATTAAAATATTAAGCCGATGTTACAGCTCAAGCCGCAGATTTTTGCCACCAATCTTGCATAATACGTGGGGAGGTTCTTTTAAATTTCCACTGCGCTACTCACAACAGGAAACGTGGCCGCGTCTCAATAATCCCGGCCACGGCTGATCACTCTGGGGCAGGGGGGGGGGGAGCCCTTTGAGAAGGCGGCGATCACAACGCGAACAGGGGACCCAGCCACTCACTGCGCTCGCCAATCCCCTTAAATACTCCCCAATCCGTCTCACCCTGCGCCCAGATCCCCTCCCCGCAAGCCTCCCGCAGGCACGGACATCCCTCCCCATCCCTTTAGCCTCTCCCTTTCCACTCCGACACCTCCCCCCTTCCACTCCTCCGCCGAACCACCATTGCCCCTCTCCGCTTCGAACACAACGGGACCGGGTCACGGCCACAATCTTCTCTGCCCGCTGCCATCAACCACGTCACCTCCCCTCTCCATCTCCGCTACTCATCCTCCCACCACCACCACCCCCCGACTCTCTCGATTCATTTTCGCCAATCTCATCATGGCGGAGGAGGACGAGTGGCCGAGCAACCCCGGCACAAGCAGCGGCACGGGAATCTCACAATCCGCGGATGCTTCTGCGGAGATGCCGGGCTACGTGGAGCTCTTCTCGTTGGCCCTGAGCACGTGGCGTCGGGCGTGGCGCGACTGCGCCGGCTGCGGCTACGCGGGGGCTTGGGACGCCCTTGGGGAGAGCGCCTTCGTCAGCTGCTCCGACGCGGCCATTCTGCTCGGGCTCGCGTTGGGATGGACGCTGCTTCGCCACGCCGCCACGGAAAAGGTCTTCGGGGTAGGAGACGCACCGAGAGACGGGCGGGGTGGTGCAGAGGGGGGATGGGGGGGCGGGGTGGAACGGGCGCGCGCGCACGTGGTGGACACGCACGTGTGTGTGTACATGCGTGTGTGTGTACACACACGCATGGGGAGCGATAGTGCAGCGGTTAGCGCGCTGCGCTATGAACCCGGCGACACGAGTTCGATTCCCGCTCACGGCCAACACCAGTGACGATTATCTGAACCGGTCCCGGGCCTCCCCTAGGTCGACTCAGCCTCAAATGAGTACCTGGTGCGGTGTGTAAACATTGCCACTAGGGAGACAAAGGCGGTCGGGCGTGGTGCTGGCCACCCACCCCCTCGTGTACCGTTCCGGCCTTCATAGGTGCTCGCTAACAGCACTTGCCCCTACAGTCTGTTAAGGCTATACGGGGGATCTTTGTATCTTTGTTGTGTGTACATGCGTGTGTGTGTATATGTGTGGGCGCTTGTATGGTCACTTGGTCATACTATACACGTACTATACGGTACGTGCACATAGCATCCACACATGCGCGCACATTATGCGCGTGTGTTGGCGTAAAAAATGCGGAGGGAGTGGGTGACGCATTGCTGAGCACACTGCGCAATGAAGCCAGCGAGCCGAGCGGGTTACATTCCCAGCCAAAGACTCACTCCGGTGAAGAACATTGATGTCAGAACCGATCCTGCTCTGCCCCCCCTCCCTAATCCTCCACGCTTTCACCCACCCACGTTGACCAGCGTAGTGAAGTATGGTCATCCTATGCGCCATCTATTGTAAACCTATGACCCCCCCCCCTCCCCATCATGCAGCTGTCAGAATCTCTCTGGTTGCCCAGCCCAGACTGAAGTGTCTCGTCTTTCTCCCAATTTATCTTTTCATTTCTTCCCAATGTTTTAGCCTCTGGCTGCAATCGGGATTTTGCTCCCCCACCCTCTCACCCCAGAAGCCTTATTATTATGATTACGATTGTGTACCCAGGAGTCTCTCTATATTATTTGCAGGAGGATCCTGCTGGTTCCATACATTCCAATTGAGTAATTTGCCCGCTTGCAAACTATATCCCTGCCAACAGCTGTACTCGAATAACAACCACGTGTGTTGGCTTTTACACATACGAACGTTACAACAAAAAACACCCGGCAACATCAACAACATCAGTATTTGTGCTTGTGCACCACTGCCATCGCAGTATTCGCCAAATGATTCATGCAATAATGCGGCCAATATTTTTCATAAAATGGGCCGTTACACGATACGCATCTTTGTACACAAACACGCGTGTACACAAACACGCGTGTACACCAACACGCGTGTTCACCAACACGCGTGTTCACCAACACGCGTGTACACCAACACGCGTGTACACCAACACGCGTGTTCACCAACACGCGTGTACACCAACACGCGTGTTCACCAACACGCGTGTACACCAACACGCGTGTACACCAACACGAGTGTACACCAACACGCGTGTACACCAACACGCGTGTACACCAACACGCATGTACATTTCAATTGTATGCGTAGACACGTCATTGTTTTAAATACGTATGCATTAAATGGATATCGATTAGGGCTGAACGATTAATCGATTTCAAATGAAAATCGCGATTTGAAACAATGCGATTGGCGAATCGCAAAGGCCGCGATTTTTTTGCGATTTGAAAAGTCCTTTTACTTTCTTATTGGAATTGTTTTATTATTTTATTATTATACCTTTATTTATTTAACTTAGTAATTGTTATATGTTTGATTGTTCTATTTACATTTTTTTAAAATAAATACATGTTGAAAGCAATTTATATCTTTTAAGTTCTCATCCTTGCATTAGAATATATAGAGCAGTTAATATTTTGATGGTATGTGGTAATGCTTGTGAATATTGCACTGAAGCTTGACTTTAAAAAAAATTATCGCAAATCAAATCTCGATGTCAGAAAAATCGCAATTAGATATTTCCCCCCCAATCGTTCAGCCCTAATATATATGCATATGCAGAATATTTATTTCGACTGGAGGAATCCGATGAGCTACGATTCTCTTTTTCACAGATGTCCAGCAGTTTTCACAGATGTCCAGTAGTGTTGTGTAATTAAAATTGTCTTGGGGGATGCTATGGATAAGATTTCATCAATGAATCAAACGTTATTTAATTTAGCGCCCTTCACAATACAAATCGTCCCAGGGACATTAAAAACGTCTGCAATATGAATCAACAAGAATGTTAATTACACAACACTAATGTATTGTTTTTCACAGATGTTCAGTGTACGCACACGCGGAGAGTTTAAAGACAAAATTCCCCGGCGTAGCCTCGTGGAGCATTCGGCCAAGTGCTCTGAGAGAGCGTCCCAATAGAAGCCTGGAACGTCGTACAATGTGGGGGTGGCGAACAACACGCCCGGCCGTCTTTGTCTCCCAGCATAATGACGTTTATGCAACGCACGAGGTACTCATTTTAGGCCGAGTCAACATAGAGGGAGGCCCAGGGCAGGGTTCTGAAACCACTGGCCAACGATGTTAGTCTGGTTCGTAGCGCAGTGCGCTAACCACTGCGCCACACCAACACCCGCCACTCGCCACGGCGCCTGTGCCAGGCTAGGTGCACTTTGAGGCTGCCACGTGAAGTGTCGAAGTGCTCGCTGTTGGCAGGAGGTCTCGGGACAGACCCAGCAGGTGCCATGGGTTGGCTGACTGAGATGACCGGTAGATGCACACCAGCTGTACCCGCTACTGTGCCAGGCTAGGTGCAGGAGGTCTCGGGTTGGCTGACTGAGATAACCAGTAGATGCACCACCAGTTGTGCCCCCTACTGTGCCAGGCTAGGTGCAGGAGGTCTCAGGACAGACCCAGCAGGTGCCATGGGTTGGCTGATTGAGATGACCAGTAGATGCATCAGCTGTACCCCCTACTGTGCCAGGCTAGGTGCAGGAGGTCTCGGGTTGGCTGACTGAGATGACTGGAAGATGCACCAGCTGGACCCCCTACTGTGCCAGGCTAGGTGCAGGACGTCTCGGGTTGGCTGACTGAGATGACCGGTAGATGCACCAGCTGTACCCCCTACTGTGCCAGGCTAGGTGCAGGAGGTCTCGGGACAGACCCAGCAGATGCTATGGGTTGGCTGAATGAGATGACTGGTAGATGCATCAGCTGTGCCCCCTGCTGTGCCAGGCTAGGTGCAGGAGGTCTCGGGAACAGACCCAGCAGGTGCCATGGGTTGGCTGAGTGAGATGACTGGAAGATGCACCAGCTGTGCCCTCTACTGTGCCAGGCTAGGTGCAGGACGTCTCGGGTTGGCTGACTGAGATGACCGGTAGATGTACCAGCTGTGCCCCCTACTGTGCCAGGCTAGGTGCAGGAGGTCTCGGGACAGACCCAGCAGGTGCCATGGGTTGGCTAACTGAGATGACCGGTCGATGCACACCAGCTGTGCCCGCTACTGCGCCATACACACACACATTTATGCTCACACACACACACTTGTGCCCATACACGCAATAGTCTATGATCACACACATTTATTCACACACGTTAGACACAACAAGAGTTGCGACACAAGATATATTTGACATATCCTTGGCACGGCATAATAAACGCCATGTGTGTAGCAATTAAGGGTTACGAGTTTTGAAAGGCGCCGGTCTTGGGCAAATAACGGCACCAGGGGCACGCACTGCAAAAGACAAAGATCCCCCATATAGCCTTAACAGACTGTAGGGGCAAGTGCTGTTAGCGAGCACCTATGAAGGCTGCAACGGTACACGAGGGGGTGGGTGGCCAGCACCACGCCTGACCGCCTTTGTCTCATTTGAGGTTGAGTCGACCTAGGGGAGGCCCGGGACCGGTTCAGATAATCGTCACTGGCACAAACGCGCTAACCGCTGCACCACCGCTCTGCACACACAGCCACGCACGCATTCTCACGCCGCATGTTGTTTCATCATAATGATAAGTGCGCTGCCCTCTGTCGATCCACTGCTAGATGGATGCAATCTTCCCCCAAGCTGTTACCATCTCTGCGCGATCTTGCGATGTTAACAATCCGTCCCACTCGGAGGAGATGGTTTGCGATGAATGTTTATTGTGCTAATTACTACCGATCAATCTTTCCATATCGAGTTGTCCCGATTGTACAAAGCACCATCGTCATCATCGGACCCTGGTCTATCCACTGCTGGATGAAGGCCTCCTCCCCAGGGCTGCTGCCACCTCCTCCTCCTCCTCACGATCCTGCAATGTGACAATCCAGCCAACATCTTTGACGCTCCATCTCCCAGTAGAGCGATGTAATCGGCTCGTGTGACGGTGTTGATCTTGGCCATACAAACGATACGTGTCGAGTAGACGAACGAGTGAATCAAGTTTGTTTAACATGGTAAAAGACCCCTTGAGATGTGTACCCCTTTGAATGGAGATTATTTAATTCAGAATCTGTATTTATCCTGGAGAAATCCTATGAGCTTTCAAGCTCTTTCTCACAGATGTCCAGTAGGAGCGGGTTAGAAACTTGCATTAACAAACAATGCAAAAACGATAGGAGTGCAAAGTACAGGTAAACAAATCACTAAATTAGATAATATAATGAAAACTAAACTATTTTTAATTTTACCAGGTAAAGCCCACTGACCAATTAGTTCTTTTTCAGAAGCTACCTGGCCACAAATGATAAGAGTTCAACGAAGTGACGTATCTTGTGGAAATGTATAGCAGCCAAATACAGGTAGTCCTCGACTTACGATGGAGATGCGTTACGACGACCCCCATCGTAAGTCAAAAATATTGTAAGTCGAAGATGGTCTCGCCTACCCAGGAGTCTTAAAGAATGGTGATAATTTAGCAAAACAGAGCAGTCAAATGTTAAGTAAAAAAACAAGGTAAATTCTTAGCCTACCTATATAAAATGCAATTTATTCGAAGTTTTTTTCAGGAAACAATCCTATCTGCTATAAAAAAAACTTTTAACATGCATTGAACGTATCGTATCGTGGTAA